TCGAAGTTACAAATTATACGGTTGGTGAAAAGCGGATTAAATTTTCGGAACCGGTAAACGGAACCTTGTGGAGGGTATGACCTGCTAAGCGTAACACACAGAAACAAGCAACGTCCGTATTGCGTTTTACAACAATTTAAGTGAGAATTCTAATTGCCACATCAGCAGCCTGCATCTTCGTAGATTTTTAACGCCTATGCACGACCATGGACAGCAATGGCAGCCTGCGGGCCGGCTTTTGACTACACCCAAGTATAGACATGGTGAAAAAGTAGTTTCCAGCAAAACCGCTAGGACGCGAAAAAACGCACCTCAGTCAATGAATACCTGGTGACTCTAAATGCTATCTTTCTACTGCATGGGCGGTTCGTTGGGAATCACAGAGTACAAATCCTAGCCCGGATATTGTATACAATGGAACATAGGTTAACGAGCTTAATCCCTTCCGGCACCGAGCTCGTCATGTGAAACGCTCTTCGAGCGAAACGTAGCAAATCAAACGGTGTCAGTTCACTGATTGCCTGCAGGCGATCGAGGACCTACGCCCTGGAAGGACCCCATAGCGGATACAGGAAAACGCATGCACTGACAACTCGTTAACTAAGCGGAAGTTCATAAATCGAGACAAATGTTATGCTAATGGCTCGCTCTTTACCTGAAATTCTCGAAGATGGGGCTGCTCGTCACCCAAGGCTCCACTGTAATTCCATACTTAGTCCCGCATGATAGTCATTGTCAGAGGAGTACAGGCAATCTGGGCATAAAATTAGATAAGCGAAAGTTCTGAAACGCCTTGTTACTCAGACCACATCTTAGACGCAAGTATTAGAACACTACCTACGGAAAACAATTACATTGTAAAATAACGCATACACGGAGGAGAGAATTCTCAATTCGATCCGATTGTTCTTATTTATTAAAACATATGTTCAATGTGAGGACTTTATAGATGCAAAATTTTTTCTATAAATATTAGTGTATGATGATAGCAACAACATACTGCACGTTTTTGAAGATAAAGCTTGCGACAGTGTCGGTAAGAGATTTACTGACCATGCGATCGATATCAATGGTAAGGGCAGTTGGCGGTAAAATCAATAAAACTGTAAATTGCTGAGTATATAACGCATTCTGTAATCATATTATTACACGAATACACAACATAACACAACAGTTATAAAATAATATCACATTAACATGAGAATGTTAGTCTGAGCACTCAAAACAACAGAATATTTGTTCCTGCCTAATTAAAATGATAGAAATGCGTTCAGTATGTCATCATACGAATGCTTACCGATATGCTGTTTTGTTTGCAAAGCTGCGCACAGTCCTGGATTACCGCCTCTGGGACATCGTCGAGCGTTTCACCTTCGCGGAGGCGAAGATACACGTGGGCAGAGGATAGCTTGTCAACGTGAAACCAAACGTCTTCGGGCCACCCCCACCGAATAAGTGCATCGTTTTCATTCTTATCTGCGCCCATATAAATGTGATATGGAGGCGAAACAAGCTCGCATTTGAAGTAATAAACCATGGGGATGGTAGCGCAGAAGCGGGCTAAAATCAACTGTTTGCCCTATTGTAACAACCAATCGCCTTAATAGAATATTCTTGGGCATTCAAAACGATGGTACAATGTAGTTCCAGAATACGAGTGAAATTTGTGCACTTTTGTTCACTTTTATGGGAAAATAGTATGAGACTTAGGGTGCTCTACTTGCTATGTAAAATCGAGTTCAATGTACAGAGAAACCCTGTGGGTTGCCAGAGTTCAAACGTGACAATATAATAGGGCATTTGGAGTGGGAGTTTCAAAGCTGAAGTTAAGTCCCCCATGACTCCGACTCATTTTCGAGATCGGTCTGTCAAGGTTTCTTTTGAAACATTCTGGCGATGATCTCATCACAACGTCTGTGGGGAAGGGCATTCAATTATTTGACCACGATGACACAAATAGGGAGTTCAATGGTACACGAGAGAGAGAGAGAGAGAGAGAGAGAGAGAGAAAGAGAGAGAGAATGTGTTGAGGGACTCCTGTGATGTGCGCCTCCACCCACCGTAGGACTGCTCATCTACTACAAGCGGTAGGTATACTACTTTTCCACTCCGTGACCCTGTCTTCCCAGTTTTCAGGCCTTTCTCCCGTTCTCCCCCTTCCCATCATCTACACTCTCTCCCCCTCTTCCTCATTCCTCTCAGTACCCTCACCACACCCTCTTCCCATTTTACTTTACTCCCCTACGATCAAAAACTCTCATGTCAAGGCCGACAGATAGTCAGGCTGCCAAGGCTTACCGGGTTATTCTCTCACTAACCCCGTCTGACGATCCTATAGTTGTTACTACACTATCGGTACTGCCTTTTTGTACTAACAAATATCAATTCCAAACTTGAACCGGAAGCGGACGGAGCTTTTTCCAACAAATATAGTTTATTCCATGATTTCCCATCAGTAAATGCGGGGAAATTACTGACGTATCTGAATTCTGTCGACTGGTCCGACTTTTCCTACGTTTGTGTGTGAATGTTCGTACTGATGCATTGTACAAAGTTACAAAGTATACATTGTACAACCTGTTATTGTTCAAGGTTGTCCAACAGTGGAAAAAAATCGTGAATCTTCAATATCCAACATCACTTGCCGAATATAAAGCGCAACGAAATGTATGCCGTAAGGAAATACGAATTGTTAGAACTGCCTTTGAGCGTCAAATAACAACATAAGCCACAATATGTCCAAAGAAGTTTTATGAAAACACCCGAAGTCAAAGGAAGCACCGGGACGACATTTCAACTCTAAGGGATAATCTCGGGAACGTATTAACGGTAGGACCACAGAAAGTAGAGTTACTCTCCGAGTTTTTCAGATCGGCGTTTACGATGGAATCCCCCGACGACAATCCGG